CGATTAAGATGGATAATTAATAAAAGGAATATTATGGAGATAATTAGGAATAATTATCTTAATAGATTATATTTTAATTATGAGAGTAATTATCTCTCTAATTAAAATGTGACTTATTCCCAAAGAAAGAGGGAATATTCTGGGTTTTCTGCTCCTATAAATAGGAGACGCCCCAGACCCTCTAAACACACCACAGAGAGCATAAACACGAGAGAGAGTGCGATTCAGAGAGCTCCAATTTTTCGCACAAAACCGCTGAGCAAATCAAAAGAGTAACTGTTTTATCCTGGAGGCGACCGGCTGATAGTCTGTTGTGCGAATAACGAGGCAGTGCCGGGAACGTCTTAAAGAGAGCGACTTAGTCCGCGACTCAGCCAGATCGGTAATCCTAGATTTTTTTGTTTGATTTATAACAATTTTAAGACGTTTGATTGCTGTCATATGTATCGAACAGGATGTCGATGTTTGCTCGATCGATTACTATCGTCGCGTCGCCCGGGGAAAAGGCCTGCCGCGGGTTTTTTTTTTCCCGGATCGGGATAAAAGCTCCTTGTGCGAGAATCCAGAATTGAACTGCTTGAATGAGATAATTATTCTAGGAGAGGGAGTTCCCAAGGCACAACTCAAATGATGATGGTCAAGAATTGTGTTGGGGGTACTACCGAGCAATTAGTGGTCTGGGCCCCCAAGAAGTAGAATTGGGGGGCAAGGCCCAGAAAAGAGCCTGCAAAATACCTCCAGGCCCAGGCAAGAGGAAGGGCATATAAGGACGAAACACTAAAAGCCAAAGGAGACAAGCTGTCAGGTGGTCCATCGCCTGCAGGCGCCTGTCGCGTGTCAGAAGCCTGACAAAGCAGTTGGGGTGTCTGACAAAGGGGGTACAAAGCATTAAATTGGGACAGTGACGTGGAGGAGATCAACCTCGGGTTCGGTGAGTATAAATAGGGGCAGTGGGTAGCATTTACACAGGTTGGACTCTCTCACTAAAACTCCTACTTTGAGACCTTTTCCCTCTCTAAGGAACTAACTTGGGCGTCGGAGGATTAACGGGCCCAGGCGCCCTCCTCTTCGTGCGTGTGTGTAGGCAGGCGCCAGGCGTGGGGAAGTTCCTGGAGTTTCGGCGGGTATCGTGGCACAAACAATTGGCGCGCCAGGAAGGGGAATATAACCAGGAGTCATGAGTGAGGAGACGTCAATGAATGGAGAAAGAGAGAGAGAAGAGATTACGGAAGACCAGTCGGAGCAGTTAAGAGGGCTAACGCCCGAGATGGAGGAGGGGGAAGAAAGCGATGGCGTGTTCCGAGGGTCGGAAGGCGCCTCAGTGACGAAGAAAGAACTGTTTAGAATCATCGAAGACCAGGACGGAGCAATTGAGGCGCTTCGGATGGAGGTCGATGCTCTTAAAAGGGGCGGAGGAATGACGCCCAGCCCAACGAACAAAAGAGAAAGGGTGGCAGAGACGGAAAGTGAGTCGGGATACCCGAGGCACCCCAGTTCGTGGCGCCCACGGGAGCATGAAGGGCCAGACGCAGGGGGATGGAACGGAGGAATTTTGGGGCGCCTGTCACGTCACGGTCCCGTAAAACAACCCTTGGCGCGTAACATACTAGTAGAGCCTGCGGGTACCAACATTCCCCCACTCCCCACCTATGATGGGACCGCAGATCCTGAAGACCACCTCAACGGTTACTTTACCAAAATGCAGCTCTACAACAGTACAGATGCCACCTTGTGTAAAGTTTTTCCGTCAACTTTCGCGGGCGTAGTCCTCGATTGGTACTACCAGATCGAAGAAGGGCGCATTGAGTGCTTCGAGCAGTTTGCGGAGATGTTTCTTGCGAAGTTCGCTAGCAGGAAGCGTCGCACCCTGACCATAGGTGCCCTGTTCAAGGTCAAGCAGAGAGATGGAGAGGCGTTGAGGGAGTTTTATGAAAGGTGGTTGTCCGTGGCCTTGGCAGTGAAGGATGCGCAGCCGTCGGTATTGGTAGTATGCCTGAATGAATGTACCACCAGCGAGGAGTTATGCAGGTCGTTGGCAAAAAGAGACGTTGTGTGCACCGAAGATTTGGATCACAGAGTGCAGAAGGTGATCATGCTCGAAGAAACTTTGGCAGCCAGAAGGGCAGACAGACGGAAGACGAGAGGGGAAGAGGTGGAAATGGTGAGGAGGCCGCACCCCCCTAGCGGTGCGGGGTACGCGCCCACGAATCCCCCGCCAAGAAGAATGGATGCCGGACCCCCGGCGCCCAGGGGAGCGGGACACTTTGCTGAGTATACCGACACACTGAAAAACATACTCCAACATGTCAAGGAGAAGGGGTATCACATCAAGTGGCCGGGCCCCATGAGGGGACAGCCCAACGAACGGAATTTGGATCGATATTGTGACTTTCACCGAGAGGTGGGACACCATACGGCTGACTATTATCAATTGAAGAGTGAGTTGCAGGGCCTGGCTGACAGGGGGATGCTCAATGACTTCGTCAAGAAGCCTGATGAAAGAGTGCACCGGGCGTGCGTGGCCGGTATGGAAAAGGAAAGGGAAGAGCTTCCACCCCACCATATGACCTCGATCAAGATAACGCGCCCGAACGGGTGCGCCTGACCATCGAGGCTATTTCGGGGACGGTGGACCTGAGGGAAAAAATAGAAGCGAATCGCCGTCTGAGAGCGGCATCGGCAGACGTACAGGAGGCGATCGATATCAGCTTCAACAGGGCGCCAGAGGAAGCTTGCATGCTCCCGTCCATGGACGCCCTAGAAATACAAGGGGTGGTGGCAAGCTCTTTGCAAAGTGGTTTCTATAATCCAATCAGTTTAGTGTACTGTTATAGCATTTGAATGCATTGCAGTGCGGGTTAGATCAGGTCCTTAAGACCTCTTTTTTAAGAAATATCTTAAATCCCTTTCAACCAATAGGAGAAGGAGAGAGAGAATTATTAGTAATCATTGGGTAACTACCTACCTAATACGTTAAAGGGTAAGAGAGGAATCTACAAAATATTTAATGATATTATTAATTAAAATTAAAATGGCGAAAACCATTTTTGAAAAAAATACAATTCTCCTCCCAACCCTAAAACTTCCCACCACCGCCGTCCTCCTCGCCGATCTTCAACGGAACTAATCCATCGTCTGGCCGTGACTCCTTCGTTCGTAGTCCGGCCGTGACTCCCTCGTCCGTAGTCCATCCTCTCCGCCGCAACTGCTGTGAATTCCTCCGACACCCCAGCTGCTTTTGTGGTCCACTGCCATCCAGTTTCCCGACGAATCCTTTATTCTGGCCGCCCCAATAATCCAGCCATGAACGACGTCTTTTGGTTGACCATTCGGCGCAAACATGGAACGTGCAGTTCCATTTGAGTTTGGTGTGAGCTTTTTATGTTGTTTGGGTTGTATATATTGTTGAAAGGTTGATTGTTCTCGTTGGCATTGCTTTTCATTGATATTATTTTTATGTTAACAACGTAAATGAAATGTTGATAAGAGATGGAAAAAAAGTTGATATGTACTGGTGATGTCGTTGTACTACTAGTTAATATTTTCAATAATATTATTAATAATTGTCTCGTGGCCGGTTAGGAGGGTAATAAGATATTTTAATAACGATGTTAATCTTATTAAAAAATGTAACTTGAGTGTGTTAAAACGTTGATGGATAATTTTGGTTGATAATGATTTTAATAATGTTGTTTGGAAATGTTAACAAGGGATGACAAAATTGATTTTTACTGGTGATCATGTTTTCATAGCGATGGCGTTAATAATTGCAATAATACAATTGATAATAGTCTCCCAATCGGTTAATAATGTCCAATAATATGGGTTGATAACGTGGTGTATTATTGTTAAAACTGTACCTTTTATTTGTTAATAACAGTATCGAAAATATTGACATTACCGGTTAATAAGATGTTTTCATAACGTTGTTCAATATTATTAAAGAATGTAAGTGTGTTAATAATTGCAATAATATAACTAATAATAGTTGCATGGTCGGTTAATAATGTACAATAATATGGGTTGATAATGTGGTTTATTATTGTAAAAACTGTAACTTTTATTTGTTAATAACGATATAAAAATATTGAAATAAATAATTGTTCATTGTTAACTTTTTTATAATTTACGTTGAAAAATGATAAGACCTCGTTGATAATAATTGTAAAAACAACCAAAACAATATATATGAACAGGTGACACTATTTTTGTATTTTGTTAATAATATATCAAATGAACGTTTAATGCTACCTTGCATATACGTTAATAACATTAAGTTACCTTGTTAACAATTGTCCCAAAAATGTTAATAAATTAACCTGATAATGACCCATTGAATGAAACCCGAAACTTATTAATAATAACCTGAAACCTATTGATATGTTGATAATGACCAGAAACTTATTGATGACCAACGGAAATCACGTCCGGGAAGCGCTAGGGAAAAAAAGGAATAGGTTGCCCCTGCTCGTGCGATGAAGAAGAACACCGGGGCCGGAAAGCTACACGATCAGGCTGCTGCTTGTGCGACGGGGAACAGGGCAACAGGCTGCGGAAGCCGGTAAGCTGCTGATGTGGGACGCCGCAACGCCGGGAAACACTGGGGAGTGGGGACAGAGCGCGACCTAAAGGGAAACTGGTTTTAGGTTTTCGGCGAACAGGAAGCTACGGCGCTGACGGCGGAGACGGCCGGATACTGCTGACGAATGGACAGCCGTAAAACATAGACAAAGAATCCCCGGCGGTGGAGACGGCTGGTGACTGATGTACATGTTGAGGAGAGTATCTTGTTACGTCGAGAGAGAGAAAAACCGACGGGTTGGGACGTGGGTTTCAAAAATAGTAGGGTTATTATTCATATTTTATATTATTCATAATTCCCGGCATACCCTTAACAACTAATAACTCCTCAATAACTAATAACTCCTCACTAACTACCTAAATTCAAATCAGCCAATCACAACACTTTAAGATCCTCCTTAAGAAAGAAGGCTTAAGGACTTGAACTTAGGTCATTGCCGTGAATGATGAAACGTGAGCTGAGACAAACAAGGAAAGAGAGCAGGTGCAATCCAGGTTAAGTTATCTGTGGCAGCCTGGCAGGGGAAAGCAAAGGGCACAAGCATTAGTGAGAGGAGAATGATAGGTACGAGATTTAGATTGCTGCAGGACAATGATGATTGATTGTCTATAAATTAAAGAACTTATCATCAGGATCCATAAGAACTTTACAAGGATAATCACTCTACTTCCATATGTTGTAGCAAACTACCCTATACTAAAACGGACCAACCGGCTTCATTCCTTACTCTCAAATCTCAACTATATCATCAACCCATTAACTGAGAAATACCTACCCTTTCAATAAGCAAGTAAAACATAGTAGAGTGATGTTGATTGAAATCACTGTTGAAATGGCTGGCAGGGATCAATCTCCACACCATTCACTCTGCACCTGGCATTGGTTAAAGGGAAATGAATTAGAAAAACGCAGCAGTCGGAATACCTACCAGGCTACCATCAACCTTGAACTATGAGTATCAATATCTCTAACCTCATGAGCAGGTCAAAACATTCATAGCATAGAAAAGATCAGCTAAGCCCCACGCAATAGAATTAGGCCATCACCACCATTCATGAACTGCAAGTGTTAAGTGCAGATGACAGACTGGAAGGTTATAATAAGCTGCTAATCTAATAGACCCACTAAACTATTTCCCGCTGGAAACTGGTTTGCTAACTCGGTCAGTGCGAAATAGTCGCACGGATACATGGCAAGACAAACTACATTCTTTGCTAATCCCAATCTAGCTTGGTAGTTTTCACCAAACCTAAACACAGATTCATGAACCGAAAGCTCCACCATGAATACCAGCCGTAGCCACCACACTCCACAAACAAGCAACAGAACAGTCTAGAAGCGCAAAATTTCGACATGGAAATCTGAATTTCGCAAAGATCAATCAAGCATCCTCAATCTATGAATTGAGGGAGGCGCTGGTTACCACGATCAATTCAAAGGGGAGGCTGTAGAATTTGATAACGCGGAATCGAAATAGAACACAGAACACAAGATTTTACGTGGTATCCTCGATCGATTGATTGATCGAGACTAATCCACGATGAGCTCGGAACGAGCTCACGACTAATGTTTTATTATACGACTACATCTTGACGGCTTGCTTATGACATGACCGTAGCTAAGCTTTTATAGATATAGACTTAGGGTTAAAACCCTAATGACAACCAAGTTTCCTTCTTTTACTTGAACAAGGAAACTAGGGACTTGTAGGACAAGGAATTAATTACTTTTTGACTAAGTAATTAATATCCTCAACACTCCCCCTCAAGCGAAGACATGAATGACAAGAATGTCGAGCTTGAAAAAGGAAATGTGACGAACAAGCATGACAAGCTTGAACAACATAACTCGAGATGAATAACATCTCGGACAAGGTTGATTTGGAGACGACTGACTCTCTCCCTTGAACAACCTGATGAAGATGGTTGACTGCATCTTCTTGAACGTCGCGCGGAGACAGTTGATTGCGTCTCTTGAACGATCTGACAGAGACGGTTGACTGCGTCCCTTGAATGACTTGACGGAGACGATTGACTACGTCTATCCGTATGATATGGTGGAGATGGTTGACTGCATCTCCTGAACGACTTGACTCCCTATTCTCCCCCTCAAGCTGACGCATGAACGATGTGAATGCCCAGCTTGAAAGTTAGAGTGGTGATGGCTCAACATTGACCGATGCTGAATGCTGGGGGGACGATCGCTACTGGAATCGTGACTGCCTCGCTTTATGACTTGACAAACTTTGTTGGCGAAAGCTTGTCTATGTTCCCAACACTAGTTATTGAAGGGGCGACCACTGCACATCACGATGATCTTCAACGGCTAAGACTTTGATGTTGGTGAAGATTCGCGTGACCTTGATGAAGATGAGCCGGCCACAATGACGACAAAACTTCTCGACGAAACACAGGAACTATGGCTTGAGCTTTGCACTGAAAATGTACACTGCGGCGGAACTAACAGCCAACGAATTTCTACGACCAAGCATGGTTGACTTCTTACGCTGACATATTTCTTGTAGGTATATCCTTCTCAATGTAGGAATTAAAGTACCAATCACCATAAGTGGAATAACCTTGAAGACTTTGAACATGTGTCGCCATGCTATGTACGTAGGAGTTGCTTTGGTGAAAATCCTTGAACTAGAGCATTTTAAGTACAAAGTGATAACGCTGCGACCTTTGGCAACGAGTTTCAACTTGAGAAGACGGTGCCTTTCGGCGCCAATAATGACTTTCGGATGATACAACTAAACCGATATGAGCACAAGGCGGCGGACAAAACTTGAATACTCTAGACAAGCTTCGGGAGCGAGAAGTTGATGAAGAGATCGCTGGCACCTTGACAAAGCAACCACACAAACAACCAGAGAACTTTGACCTTCTAAGACGACTACCACGCCGCTGGGAGGCTATGCTGTATAGCGGTTGTGCTAGCTTACTGGCCGATGATTCAGAAGCTGTCAACGACGGTAGGAAAGCTTAGGGCGGCGAGGAGTCTTGAATGGCCGGCGAACAGGTGAGGGCGCTGGTGCGGAACTGCAATTAAGCAACGAAACCCAAGGCAAACTCAGTGTTACAGCGGCGATTGGTGACGGGGACGTAGATGACTGACGGAACACGAGCTGGCGACCGGCGATCATGGGGATTCATCTCTCTCCCGATTGTGACGATGACCGCAACTGTGAGCAAAGGACCGGCTGGTGAATTTGCAGCAGTGACAGCTGCTGGCTTGTAACGACGGAAGACGCCACGATCGCTGATGGGCGGCGGTGGCAGGTGATGACGAAGGCGCCTCGATGCAAGGCGACGCTGCGACAAACACCGAGGAGGCTTGAACGACTTGGATCCGAAACAGACCTTCTCTCCGCCGTTCCTCTTAGCATTCTCGTCGTTCGGTGACTGTTGATGATGACGACCAGCCGTGACAAGGACGACGATTGATAACAAGAGCACAATCGATGATGACCACGACGGCGGACTAGAGATCTCGTTCTTGACTGCAGCGGGAAGGACTTCGCCCACTTTGATACGGATCCAGAGTAGAAGGTCGGAGTGGACATCGACTCTTCTTTCAACGACAACCATGACTATCGACGGGACGCCGGGGTGATGTTGGGGAGAGATACCGGCGGTGGCTTGAGAGATTGACTGACGGCGGGCTGGACTTCGCCTTGACTGCGGAAGCTCAAAACCCTAGATAAGGGATCGAGTTTCGCTCTGATACCATGTAGAATTTGATAACGCGGAATCGAAATAGAACACAGAACACAAGATTTTACGTGGTATCCTTGATCGATTGATTGATCGAGACTAATCCACGATGAGCTCGGAACGAGCTCACGACTAATGTTTTATTATACGACTACATCTTGACGGCTTGCTTATGACATGACCGTAGCTAAGCTTTTATAGATATAGACTTAGGGTTAAAACCCTAATGACAACCAAGTTTTCTTCTTTTACTTGAACAAGGAAACTAGGGACTTGTAGGACAAGGAATTAATTACTTTTTGACTAAGTAATTAATATCCTCAACAGAGGCAGGGGGAGCCGGCTAACGAATAACGATTCTTCTTCAAGCAACAACAAACAAACATAAAAGGGAGGAAAAGGGTGAATGGAAAAGGAATCATTATTACCTCCGGGATGGAGAGAGATGAAGCGCGAGACCAGTAGACCGAAATTCGAAGGAATCATTATTACGTCCGGCAAACCCTAATCGGCAGAGGACTTTTGGGGGAAAGGCCGCCGAAGGAAAGGGAAGCGAGAGAGAAAGGAGTAGAGGAGTCGGGGCGTTAACAAGGCTGGCGCCTGGCGGTGCTGCTGCGGCTGGCTAGCTAGCTAGGCTGCACCATACTCGAAGCGGAAGTGAGAGTGAAGCGGGGAAATCGCTTTTTCTTTTCTTTTGGTTCCCCTCCCCAGCTGAGCACTGCAACTCTTTTTCGCCATTTTTGTTTCCCGCTGTTCGTTTTGTGTATTTAATTGAGTTTGAAAAAATGCGGCAGGCCTTACTTCACTTGGAAACAAAGTCTTCAAAGAAGAAAAACTTATATATGCGGTGGGCAGGCCCGGCCCATGTGGCCCACCTCTGCTTTCTCGAAGCATGCCGTTCAATCTTTTTCCACACATCAGGGGTTGGCAACCGATTCGGTAAACTCAAACCGAAATCAAATTAAACAGAACCAAAACTAAAATAATGCTATTTGGTTTGAAATTCGAAAAGAAAATATCGATATTTTGGAAATCGGGGTTCCTTCAACCGAATCGAATTTATGAATTTCCGACTAAAAATCGAATAACTATAATTGTAAGCTCCAATGATGGTTTTTTTTTTAAGTTTGTACTTGTTTTAGACTTAAATATTTGAATCATATTAGGATTTTATGACTTATGTGTTGAAATATTTGATTTTATCATTGATGATGCATAGAGTTGCATATTGTTTACATTAGGGGTAAAAAAAATTAAAAGGGAGAAGATACAAGTAGTTTCACAAATTCGGTATTGTGTGAAATTCCAAACCGAACCGAATTATAATTCGGTTTGAGGTTTGATGGAATTCGGGAACTCGGTATGCATCGTATCGATTCGATCGAAAATCGAACCAACTGAATATTTACCCCAACATGCCACACCTCGGCTGAAGTTGGAATTCTGGATCGGGTTTCAGCTCAAGTTAGGGTGCATAATCTTAGGGTGCTTAACATGAGTAACCAAATCTGGACCCTTCCTTTTAAGTGGTTGCAGATCAAAGGGTTTATTTCCCCTATTTTTCTTAATCGGATCATATCTTCTTCATTCTAACTCGGATTTAATTTTTTTACACAGATGGAACGAGTTCGTTGTGCTCTACAAAACGAGATTCATTTTCAATATTTTTTTTAGAAAAAAAATATTCATCTTAAAAAATATTCATACCTCTCATTACCAACTTCATACCATATGGTATCTCCTTCGTTTTTAAGTAATTTTCGGAAATTTTTGCAAAGAAGGAACAACTTAATCATGATCTATTGGATCCCAAAATTTATGGGTGAAAATTTTCATACCTCTCATTACCAACTCCATACCAAAATATAACACCCTGGTTGGTATTGGGTGGTATCTTTCATACCATATGGTATGCTCTTATTTAATACCAGTCAATATCATATTGTAAAGACTAGTAAAAAAATAACTCAGTTTTTTTTTGTTCCTAAAATATATCAAAGTGGATATCATTTTGAAGAGCACAATTAATCTTATCTAAAAGTGCAAAAAAAAATACGACTTAAAACAAGTGAAAAATCTCCATTAAAGATTAATGGGGAAAAAATAAAGACTTTTCATGAGAGAGAAGGGGCGATGATATGGCAGATTGTGATTGAATTATGCATAGTTATGCACCACAAGGTCATGGGATCCATTCTCTGCGGTTTCCATTGAATATTCGTCGGTCGTGGTTCATCTTTTTTTTTTTTTTTTGGAACTACAATGTATTGTCAAAAATTACTATTTGTTATTCACAATTTTAAAATGACAATTTTCCCCTTGGGAAACCCTAAACAATCCACCCATAAACAACTGTGCATAGCTAACAACAGAATGCAATTGATAGAAACCTTAGGTCTTGATCCATTCTCATTCATCTCATGCCTTATATAGGCAGATCAAACACAAACAGACTACACTAGTTTACATCATTTGTCCCTTAGCTTGGATCGGAAACAACTTGAGTCTTGAGAAAAAAGAAAGGGAAATACAGATAGAGTAAAACGTCAGCGTTGCAAATAAAGAGAATGAAGAGCAAACAAATATGCAAGACGACGTCGCTCCAATGATACTTCAAACCGAGGTGGAAACGACGCCGGAGAGATCTTCTTCGTTGAAGGAAAATGATCGTTATTCTTCTTCGTTGAAGGAAAATTACAATTGGAATGGAATCTTTTAGGATTCAATTCCTGCTAATAGCATCCCTTCCATTGTCTCCACGACCCTTGCCTGATTGCCCGAGAAGTCCGCCATCGATACAAGTGGGGTGAGTTTGAGATCCCTATCTTCATCTCCTCGTCATCTTCCCTCCTCCTTTTCCCTTCTCTCCCTTTTCCTCTTCTTCTGAACACAGGGTAAGTGTCCCAGAATCCCTTTTGCTCGAATTAGTATATTCAGTAAGCCAAAATTCTTATTAGAACACTACAGTTCCCTTAAGATATCTAAAAATTCGTTTATCAGCTTTGAAATGACTTTCTTTAGGATTTTATTGAAACCTAGCACACAGTCCTACACTGAATTAGATTCCTACACTGAATTAGATATCTGGTCGACTGGCTGTTAAGTATAGAAGAGATCCAATCATTCCTCTGTATTTTCTTTCACATAAGGGGATACCTCCCTCATCTTTATCTAACTTTAGATTAGTGGCCATGGGAGTTGTACTAGCATTAACTGGGTTCATGTCAAATTTCTTAAGTATTGATTCAGTGTAGCTAGTTTGACTGATGAATATTCCTAAGTTTGATTGCTTAATCTGTAGCCCTAGAAAATGAGATAACTCACCCATCATGCTCATTTCAAGCTCGGATTTCATTGTTTCCCAGAATTTGGTGCTCGTAGATGAATTAGTTGATCCAAAAACAATGTCGTCCACATAGATTTGCACAATTAGTGTATCTGTGTTATCTCTTTTAATAAAAAGTGTCTTGTCCACATTTCCTTGACTGAACCCTTCAGACTTTTAGAAGGAGGATAGTTTTTCATACCATGCCCTAGGGGCTTGTTTTAGTCCATATAAGGCTTTTGACAGTTTGTAAACATGATTAGGGTTTTTGTGATCAATAAATCCTGGTGGTTGACTTACATAGACTTCTTCTCTTATTTCTCCATTTAGGAAAGCACTTTTTACATCCAATTGAAACAAGTGGATTTTCATGTAACATGCATAAGCACACAGCATTCTAATGGATTCAATTCGTGCAACAGGGGGCAAATGTTTCATCAAAGTCAATTCCTTCTTCTTGTAAATACCCTTGTGCTACAAGCCTAGCTTTATTTTTAATAACTTCCCCTTCCTCATCTGTTTTGTTTCTGAACACCCATTTTGTACCAATTATTAATCTGTCTAAAGGTCGATGAACGAGTTCCCACACTTGAAATCTAGCAAACTGTAATAGTTCTTCTTGCATAGCATTCAACCATTCAGCATCTAACAAGGCTTCTTTGTAATTTCTAGGTTCTAACAGAGAAACAAAAGCATACTGACCTGGTTGGTACTTACCTCTGGTGTGAATGCCTCCATCAAGTTGTCCAATAATTTGTGAAGGAGGATGTCTCTTCTGAATATGCGTTGGTCCTTTCTTTTCTTCTTCTTTGCTTGACTCATCACTTGTTTCATCTTTGTCTTCCTTAGTTTCTTCTCGAGATAGAACCCTGTGATGATCCTCAGAGGTCTCCCCTTCATTTGACACAGGAAATAAAAGATCTATGCTTTCAACAGAAACTTTGTTATTACTTCCAGTTTCATCAAATTTTACAAACACAGACTCTTCAACCTTTTTAGATCTGAGATTGTAAATTCTGTAAGCCTGTCCTTTAAGTGAGTAGCCTAGAAAAATTCCTTGATCAGATTTTGAATCAAACTTATATTGATGGTCCTTGGTATTTAGAATGAAGAATTTACACTCAAATGGGTGAAAGTATCCTGAATTAGGTGTCTTTTGTTTTAAGATTTCATAAGGAGTCTTATTTATGGTTTTTCTGATTAGGACCCTATTTATCACGTAGACAGCAGTCATAACAGCTTCTCCCCAGAGAAACTTAGGAGTACCATATTCCAATAACATAGTTCTGGCTGTTTCAGTTATGGTTCTGTTCTTCCTTTCAACTACACCATTTTTTTTAGGTGTTCTAGGAGCTGAAAAGGTATGGTTTATTCCTCGGTCATTACACAGATCATTGAATTGTTCGAAAATGAATTCTCCTCCATTGTCACATCGAATTGATTTAATACCATTTTTTGGATTCATTTAGTATGAGGTTCACAAATTTTTTAAAACAAGTGAAGGCTTCATCCTTCGAAGCAAGAAGATAAACTCATGTATATCTAGAGAAATCATCAACAAGCACAAAAGCATAAGACTTACCTCCCAGACTTACTTACCCAGGCCACAAGACCATCCAGCCCACTTCAGCTAACTTCAGCCCATACCATCCAACCCACTTCAGTTATCTTCAGCCCAAATATGCCTGGAGTCTGCATTCTACCAGCTATGTCGTCCTACGCCTTGATGGCTAGCGGCTGCTGCTGGTGTCTTTCTAGTTCCAAAAGCAGAACACCAAAGTAGAGAGAAAAGTAAAGCTACAGCTCACTTACCTCTCAAAATTCAATGCTTAATTGCGAGCTTCTCAACAGCCCAACGGTCATCAAGCTTGTATATCTTCTCAACGGTCACATCTCTAGAGGCTATTTATAGAGAATCAGTTCCACCATCAATAGTTGACGATTCGGCACGGGAAAGTGGGATTCTTTTGGGTTGTTGATGGGTCCAGGTTTGCTTGTTTACTCTGTAGATTACAGGAGCTATGGCTGGGTAATCTAAGAGTGTTGGGTTCTCCTAGCTTCCTACAATAGCTTGAGTTATAGTGATTAGGATCTGGATAGCCGGGTGGGTTATAGTGATTGAAATCTGGGTAACCAAGTATTGTGAGGATTCTAGGGTCCTTTTTTATGTTCTTCATCTTCTTCTTTACTTTCTTGTTAAAAGCATATTGATTCTGCAGAATGACGTACTTCATTCCAAATCCTTAATAATATTTTCAGTTTTTTTTCTTTCGTCCTTTGTTCTTCCAATCCAAAAGTCTTTAAAGCCTCATTCTTTGATTCTACAATTGGTATCAAAGCCGGTCGTCATAGAACAAGATCTAACGATCTCCGGCGAAATCGATCATGAGAAGCGGTTAAACCAGCAGTGCTCAATCTCTTCACTTGTGCGACA